ATTATCTAATTAAATATGCACTCATTTGCATATATTTCCAGAATAATAAACTGAACATTGCATAAAGCCTGGTCCAATTTTTTTTTTACATATTAGAGTTAAAGGCTTTTACTGAGGGGATCTCTCTTTTAATCGCTCCATAAATCACAAAATACCGCCAGAAAAAAACCACCATATTTAGAGGTTACAGTGGGTACGGAAAGTATTCAGACCCCCTTAAATTTTTCACTCTTTGTTGTATTGCAGCCATTTGCTAAAATCATTTAAGTTAATTTTTTTTCCTCATTAATGTACACATAGCACCCCATATTGACAGAAAAACACAGATTTGTTGACATTTTTGCAGATTTATTAAAAAAGAAAAACTGAAATATCACATGGTCCTAAGTATTCAGACCCTTTGCTGTGACACTCATATATTTAACTCAGGTGCTGTCCATTTGTTCTGATCATCCTTGAGATGGTTCTACACCTTCATTTGAGTCCAGCTGTGTTTGATTATACTGATTGGACTTGATTAGGAAAGCCACACACCTGTCTATATAAGACCTTACAGCTCACAGTGCATGTCAGAGCAAATGAGAATCATGAGGTCAAAGGAATTGCCTGAAGAGCTCAGAGACAGAATTGTGGCAAGGCACAGATCTGGCCAAGGTTACAAAAAAATTTCTGTTGCACTTAAGGTTCCTAAGAGCACAGTGGCCTCCATAATCCTTAAATGGAAGACGTTTGGGATGACCAGAACCCTTCCTAGAGCTGGCCGTCTGGCCAAACTGAGCTATCGGGGGAGAAGAGCCTTGGTGAGAGAGGTAAAGAAGAACCCAAAGATCACTGTGGCTGAGCTCCAGAGATGCAGTCGGGAGATGGGAGAAAGTTGTAGAAAGTCAACCATCACTGCAGCCCTCCACCAGTCGGGGCTTTATGGCAGAGTGGCCCGACGGAAGCCTCTCCTCAGTTCAAGACACATGAAAGCCCGCATGGAGTTTGCTAAAAAAACACCTGAAGGACTCCAAGATGGTGAGAAATAAGATTCTCTGGTCTGATGAGACCAAGATAGAACTTTTTGGCCTTAATTCTAAGTGGTATGTGTGGAGAAAACCAGGCACCTGTCCAATACAGTCCCAACAGTGAAGCATGGTGGTGGCAGCATCATGCTGTGGGGGTGTTTTTCAGCTGCAGGGACAGGACGACTGGTTGCAATCGAGGGAAAGATGAATGCGGCCAAGTACAGGGATATCCTGGACTAAAACCTTCTCCAGAGTGCTCAGGACCTCAGACTGGAACTAAGGTTTACCTTCCAACAAGACAATGACCCTAAGCACACAGCTAAAATAACGAAGGAGTGGCTTCACAACGACTCTGTGACTGTTCTTGAATGGCCCAGCCAGATCCCTGACTTAAACCCAATTGAGCATCTCTGGAGAGACCTAAAAATGGCTGTCCACCAACGTTTACCATCCAACCTGACAGAACTGGAGAGGATCTGCAAGGAGGAATGGCAGAGGATCGCCAAATCCAGGTGTGAAAAACTTGTTGGATCTTTCCCAAAAAGACTCATGGCTGTATTAGATCAAATGGGTGCTTCTACTAAATACTGAGCAGAGGGTCTGAATACTTAGGACCATGTTATATTTCAGTTTTTCTTTTTTAATAAATCTGCAAAGATGTCAACAATTCTGTGTTTTTCTGTCAATATGGGGTGCTGTGTGTACATTAATGAGGAAAAAAAATTAACTTAAATGATTTTAGCAAATGGCTGCAATATAACAAAGAGTGAAAAATTTAAGGGGGTCTGAATACTTTCCGTACCCACTGTATATGGATTTTGACATAGATTACCATTTAAAAGTTTTTGATCAGTAAGATATTTTTTTGAAAGAATTTAACACCTTCATTCACCAAGGACGCATTACATTGATCAAAAATAACAGTTAAGACTTTTACATTTTTACAAAAAAAATTATATTCCAAATAAATGCTACTCTTTGAAAATCTTGAAAAAAACCTGTCACGGTTTCCACCAAAAAATATTTTCACATAAATGTTTTCAACATTGCTATAATAAAAATAATTAAAAAAAAAAAAGTTTCTTGAACACCAAACAGCATATTAGAATGATTTCTGAAAGATCATGTGACACTGAAGAGCTTTGGCATCACAGGAATAAATTACATTAAAAAAAATATATATATATATATATTAATACTATTTCACAATATTTCTGATTTTACTGTATTTTTGATCAAATAAATGCACACTTGATGAACATAAGAGACTTCTAAGTGTAACTCTACGTATAAACTAAATATTTACGGAAGCGTCTGGTCAGGAGTAACGGTTGGAATAAAATAGCAGACTGAGTGAACTGCATCAATATGCTCTTCTTTTACCCGACAACCTTCAATCCTTTAGGCATATATGATGCTGCTGACATTTACACTCATGTACATATTAAGAGAGAGAACAATATGTGTTTCTTTTTTAGTGCGTCTTCAACACCCCATCCCATAGCGCGCCTCTGTACGCTTCCGGTCCATGTTGCGCATGTCAGATGAAATAATAAATAATTGGCATTTCTTATGCTTTTTTTTTGTTTCAGTATTTATTGATCCTTATTTATTTAAATTACAGTTTCTGAATGTTATTTACATATAAAAATAGCTTACATATAAACTAATGTTATTAATGTATCGTTTTTAATGGAAACTTGTTTATATTTTTACCGTTAGTATACGTGAGGCAAAAAAAGTTAGAATGAAGGATAAATTTAAATTCATAGCATTTAAACAAGTTCTGCTGATTCGGATGATTTAGGGTAAACGTCATATTATGCGACTACTTTACTACTTTATTACTTTACGGAGAGTTTACGAACTACTTGCTACGTCCTGCCTTACGAACAACTAGTGCAACCAAATAACGTATAGATTTAGTTACAAACTAGCTAGTAGTTACTAAGCCTCTGGTGTGGACTTAACGTTCTAATTTAAGTAAGAACTTACGACATGTGACACTGAAGAGCTTTGGCATCACAGGAATAAATTACATTAAAAAAAATATATATATATATATATTAATACTATTTCACAATATTTCTGATTTTACTGTATTTTTGATCAAATAAATGCACACTTGATGAACATAAGAGACTTCTAAGAAAAAAATCATACTGACCCCAAACTTTGAACGGTAGTGTAAATTAATAGACAATCAAAAAAATGTCAGAAAGAGAATTTGTGTCATACCTTGTGAAAAACAAAAAACAATGTCACAATAACAAGTACATATCACTAGACAAGTAGAGTAAATATTTTCACTTGACAGTTGTTAAAATTTCTCTCAGCATCATGCTGCAGCTCCAGGTGACAGAGTAAACTGTCAGGTACATTTCAAGATAAGCGTAAATAACATGGTATGTGGGCAGTGGAAAGTGAAGGTTAAATCTATAACTCATGTACATTACTTTCCAAACTACGACAGAGCAGCATATACGGGGTTTTTCCTGGCTCAAAATGAGGCGGAGGTGGTACTATCCTGATCATGTGCACACATTATACCCACCGTTCAACTGGCTGAAACAAACACTTTTTACACGCAGTGTGTGTGTTAGGTGTTCTAATTATTAGATGATTGAAGAAAATGACAATTATCAAGTTAAATTTTACCAAAACAAACCTGTTCATCATTAAATTAAATACAACAAAAGAGCTAAAAGAGGTCCTTTTGCAGTGTAGGTGAACAAACAACATGAAATTGAAAATATTTTTCCAGTCCTTATAGTCTCCTGGTCCACAAATCATTTTGTTCCAAAATACATTCATCCACTTATTATAAAGAGTCTTTCTAGAAAACAAAAATGTTCTTATAACCTTATGTAAATTATTTTGACTGAATACATCATGAAATTTAATTCTCTAGTGTGGACTTAACGTTCTAATTTAAGTAAGAACTTACGAATGGCTGGTGCAACCCTACCCTGATCACCGTCGGGGGATATTCTGCGATAACAGCCGGCTGGATCTACATTATCCCTTACTTAAACTAAAATTACAAATAGTCACATTTTATCAATATTATGCATCCTTTCTGAAAAAAAAGACACAATTTTTATGGTATTAAAAAAAACTTACTGATGCTACACTTAAACAAAAGTGTACATACAAGGAGGGATTGCAAAACTAGACTAATGACACTTCAGAAAACTTAAAATGGCACAAACGCTCATAAAACAAATCATCACATTTTATATACAATGAATACTGATTTAATCACCTAGTCCTGTTCTACAGCACAGATCAAATACAAGATCCAGCTCAGAGGGAGTGGGAGACAGCAAGGCTTCCAACACGTACTTCAGTTCTAGTATACACCATAAGTCAAAGCCTAAGCCAGATGACACTGAGTGTACAGATGGTAAAATGAAAAAAGTGTTAGTCCGCTGTTTGGAATCAGCTTCCAGGCAACCGCCGCGTCACAAAGGGTAATCAGTGTCAGCGTTTTATTCATGATATCAGCACACACACAATGCAGAGAGGCATGGAGGGACGCTGAATACCGTTCCCTGCTCTCTTTAAAGTCACAGATCCTTTTCAGCTCTGACAGTCATCTGCTATCATTTAGTTCTGCCTTCTGTTTCCATGAAGAGAGAGAGAGAGACATATAGGGGGAAGTGGTGCACAAAGCCTAAGAGTTTGTGAAAATTACACGTAAAACCTGAAAAACAGGCCCTTCAGAGAGTTATCTTATAGCTGAAAAAGATTACTAAGTTCACACACCACAACAACATAAACATGTTAAAGCCTATAGGGACCCTTCACACATTTGCATTGCTTCCACTGCAGCTTTTCAAAGTTACATATGGTAGAAATAGTCCCAGGCACATAAATAAAGGACATAACAAGTTTGTAAGAGTTATTGTAAGGGACATATGCTACACAGAAAGGCAGAGAAACAAAGGAAATTACATTTTAATCCCAGTATTAAGTAAGTAAGTATTTTACCTAGAGTGGACTTGCGCAGTTGATAGGCCTCAAACAGCTCCTGTAGGCTCCGGTACCGCCTGGTCAGTTCATTCTTTTGGTGGTCAAGTCTGGGTTGGAGTTTAAGGTTCTGCTCAGCAAGATGACGGTTACTAGCCAGGGTCATCTCCTTGTTCTGCTGTAGTCCTTTAATCTGAGAACACACAAGGAAATTGTTAACTCAATAAACAGGAAATTTAATTGCAGCAGGGTAACAGGTGCATTAGAGCTAACATTAGCATCAAGCTACATAATACTATTTACAAAATTAATAGTACGCTTTACTCAAGTCTCACTTCAAACCACCATTGAGTGTTTGTAACAAATTCCGAATGCGATCTAATGTAGATTTTGGTCATATCCACCTTATTTTTCAACGCGGAAGTAAGCCATTTTCTGTGAATGTGCAAGACTTCTGGTTCATTAGCCGCTGTAGGGGAATAACAAAGGGCAGTAAACCGATTGCACTACAAACGTGTGTTCATAGTTAAGATAATACATTAAAATAATATGGTAAGACACACCAGTTTGCAATGTCAAGCAGCAAAACAAGCTGTTTTGTACAGCTAAAAATAGCTGGAAGTGGATGACACCGGAAGCCAGACCCATTAAATTTACAAAAGGCCGCAGCCGCTCTTACAGGAAGAATAAGGTGGATAATGTTGTTGAAATAAGTTATTTGTAGCCTTTTACACTAAGCTAATTGCTACACCAGCTTATGTAGGAAAAAAACTGATATATGTTTGTGGGGCCCATTTCTAAAGTTTTCAAATGTCAAAATAACTAGGCTTTGTAAACCCTATATCAAAGATGAAATGATCATCAGCAATTGCTGGCACTGGACTTTTCCCTCATATCATTACAAAAGTTAAAAGCATTCAATCCAAAAACACCAGAGGACCAAAAAGATGCATAAACCCAAAGACCGCACTCATATGTAATCATTCATTTAAATCCAAAACTACAACCATTAATAGGGAGTTGGTCCTCCCTTTGCAGCTATAAAAACTCCCACTTGCTGGTAGATTTTCCAGTAGATGTTGAAACAAGGATGGAGGGATTTTCTCCCACTGAGACACAAGAGCATCAGTGAAGTCAGGCGCCGATGGTAGGCGATGGGTTCCGGTTCACAGTTCAATTCATCCCAAAGGTGTTCAAAGAGACATGGTAATCTTTTAGGGCAGTTCAGTCATAGTCGAATACATGGTGGGGATTCTTCAAGTCGAAAAAGTTAAGACCAACTGTTCTATACAAATCACAGAAATTAGACATTTGACAACAAACCTAATTGTTTATATGGATATAAAAAAAATTCACCATTGAGAATCAGTTAAGAGGCTTAAAACTAGTTATACCCAAATTGATTTGAATCAGCTGGCCTTTGATATATAGGTCACTCCACCTTAAGCCTCTCCTTGTACCGGATGATCACTGCTGCAGCAGAGGCATGTTACAGCCCCAAAGAAGGGATTATTAATAATCAGAGGGGTCGATGTTAAAGGTTTCAGGCTGTGCTGTACACAACGCAGAGACACACACAAAAAAAAACATACGTTGCAACATGCCACCTCTAGTGACTCAATAACCTATGACTGCCATGAGGAACACTGAACAGTATTTAATTGTCCTCCCTTTTCAACAGGTGCACTTCTGCAGTTTCAGTTTAGAGATCATGTGTCAGAGTGCATAACAGAAAGAGGTGAGAGATTTCACATGTTTCTCAAACACCTGCCTATGTCAGCTGGCAGGTCAGGAAGCATTTGTTCTTCTGAGCTTTTACACGGCCTGTGCCGGGATGTCCTACGTATTAAATCAAATTAATACCCAAACAAGCACTCAAAATATACAAATCAGTGTCTAACACAAAGAAAGCTGAAATCACCAGTCATATCACATTAACGTTGACAGGCAATACTGAATCCAGTTCTCTTGGTAATACACCAACTCTTGCTTGCGAAAAGCAAATCATTGCTCATCACTGATTACACAAGGCTAGTTCTCTCCAAATCTGACTAAAAAGGATAGGTCTATTCATCATATAACATTCACATCGCTTTCTAAAAGACATGTAGACCAGTGAACGGGTCCGCAACCATTGTTTTATGTGGCAGATAATTACGGTCTACATATGAAATGTTACTATATATATATATGGCTTCTGGAGCACCATTCCAGCACTAACCCATTTCTTTCTCATTAACCATTTCTGTCAGTTACCAATTTCAGTGAAAGCCAATATTTAAGAATGCGTACATTTAAGAAAGATGTTTATTTAAACAGCAGTTAAGAAAATTCCTTCTAAATAAATTATTTGGCCTGGAAAAGAAACATCACTTTTTATAGCACTAAATTATAATACTGCCAGATCAAACATGCTCCCATGACACATACCGATTCAAGGCTGACATCTTTCAATGAATTTGGAGGTCAAATCAACTCAAAACTGTGAACATGCCCAGAATACTATCTAATTGACGATATGCAAACACAACTGAGCAAACTTTGAACTTACACAGTAAGTCAGAAGGGTACTGATATTGTGTGCATTGGCAAAGCTCAGTATGTTGTCTCATGAGATGTGAATATGTTTATGGTTATGCATCAGCAATTATAATTCATATGAAACTTTGATCAAAAATCAAATTACCTCTTAATCAACTGTCAATATGCTGTTTTAATAAAAAATAAAATTAATACATTATGCTCCTGAAATACTAGTGTTATAATCAATAAAAACAACAAAAAAAATTATATGTTTATTTTTAAATTAAAAATATACAATGCAAATAATCAATAAATGTTTCCGGAAAATATTGCTAGTGCTTGGCATCATAAAAACTAGTATAAAAAGTCTCTGATTGCCAAGGTTTCCTTAAAGACATGACAGCGACATATGTTTTCATAAAAGTAACAAAAAGTGAAGCTCTGCAAAAAAATTACTCACTAATAAAAATATAATTTACACAAGACCAACGTCAGTAATAATTTCTGCAAAAGAGGATCACGAGAAAATGGCTTGCATCACTGAAGGGTGAAATACAAACACAACAGACTCTACAGGACAAATGCATATTCTCACAACTCATGGGCATTATTAGATAAGGCTGGTCGAGCAGTTTCTGCTTCAGTGATAAGGTAACTTTGGCTTAAGTAACTGAAAATATGTTGTTCAACCAATGACATCATAACACTTAACGCTAGTCATATTCCGCGAGACGTCAAAAACAAACCAAACTGAAGTCACGCGCAGAAACGTTCAAATTTAAACAGTTCCCAATAAAATGTAATGACGTCGTAATTTTAAAACAAGCCATTAAAAAATATATTTATATAAAAATAAACACGACCTACATCTGTATAAAATGGTGCTTTTTCAAATACAAATCAACTCGCCACGGTAACTTCGCGACGCTCTTCACGAGAAAAAGTAACTTACGTTACCTCTTCCGAGTCGTCGATAAATTTGTTGAGTTTTTCGTCATCTTCGAGCAGTTCGTTTAACTGAGTTAAAGTGTAAGAACTCAACTTATTCACAAAGCCAGCCATGTCTGGCACAGCGGTGTCTTTCACACTTCGAACTCTGTGGATCGCGGTCGGTCTGACTCTGGGCAAAGCTGTTATTATTTTCAGCCGGAAGACGACAGGAGGAGATGCGTGACGTCAACCGGCACATCTCCGTAAGGTCTCTTTAATTTGATGCTCACAAACTTTCTCCAAAATGATACATTTCTTATGTCTTTCAAAATGTGTAAAACATACGTTTGTGCGTTACACTGCATAAACTGATAACATACTTTTTTTTTTGTAATAAATCTTTTAATTGCAAAAAAATTGCAATCTTCAGTGGTGTTATTGTTAACTAAAAATATATCATAAAATTATACAGATGAAAGAAAACATTAAACAAAAATTAGAAATTAGAAAACAGAAATAAAATCAGTTTAAATACTAAAAATACAAAAAAAGGATAAAAATAGAATTTAAAAAAACTGTCAAAATCACATGACAAAATTCTTTATATTAATAAATACTATAAACTATACATTATTAACTGTATTAGTAGTATATGAGACATTAAAAAAATTTAAACAATTATTTAATTGTCCATCAATTCGTTTTTGTTCTTTTTCATAAATAAGTTTAATATGTTTGTACTATTTAAGATATTTAGATTTGAAACAAATAATACAGTACATCAAGTATATAAAGTATATATTGCTTAAAGCTTTATTCAAGGCAGTACCCCTGTCTAGTAAACACACTGTTTAACATGCAAAACATGTGATACATCCCAAGATAAGAATAAATAAAATATTTTCAAAAAATCAACCTAGGATGAAGGCCTCTATACAATCAAGTGAAGCACATTTCAACTCTTCTTAGTAGTGTCTTAGTAGTGTGCTTCATGCTCAGTGTCGCTACAGTCCTCTGCACTCTCCTTATCTCCTTCCTTCAGCTCCCATGGTGGGGCTGGTGATGGGTGGTGAACATCTGCATCTATTTCAGTCCCCATCTGCCTCTGCACCAGCTTACAGTAGAGGCCTCCCCTGGCCATGAGTTCTGCATGTGGGCCCTGCTCCACCACACAGCCTTTGTCGATCACTAGGATGTTGTCTGCTCTTTCCACTGTGCTCAGTCTGTGGGCAATCACTAAAACCGTGCGTTCTCGCATCAAGTTGTTCAGAGCCTGCTGAACCTAAAAACAAAGTAACAACACAAATGAAGTCTAATGCAAGACTGAAAATGAATGTTCACTTAAGCCACAGACTTTCAATGTAATAGTCATCACTTACTATGTATTCGCTTTCTGAATCCAGTGCACTTGTGGCTTCATCCAAAATGAGAATGCAAGGGTTTCTGATGAGAGCCCGAGCAATGGCAACTCTCTGTTTTTGCCCACCAGAAAGCTGAGTGCCCTTCTCTCCAACCCCTACAGCAGACAGAAGACAGAGCAGCAGGATGAATTATCAGCCAAACTCTGTTACAAACTCTTTTTCTGTTTTAGTACACATATCATGTAAAATAAATATAATATTATTAAACAAATAAAAAAAAATATATATAATACATTATAATATAATATAATATAATATAATATAATATAATATAACTCAAATCAACTCAAAGCTGTGAACATGCCTAGAATACTATCTAACTGAACCAAATTGTGGTACAAATAAGTGGAAAAACATCAAATTAAGCTAAATATGTACAGTATATGAATATCTACTGTGGTCATTATGGCAATGCATAAGGCATTAACATCAGAAATGTACATTTCTGAACATGGCTTAAAATTTGAGTGTTTACACATATAATGTAAAATTAATATAATATTAATACATTTAAAATACAAAAATATATAATATAGTATCATTTAATATAAATAAAATATATAATATAATATAATAACAAACCAGTTTCATAGCCTTTGGAGAGGCTGGTTATGAAGTCATGTGCATTGGCATTAATGGCTGCTCTGATGACCGCTTCCATGGGAGCTTCAGGTACACCATAGGATATATTCATCTGAACAGTGCGGGCAAATAGAACAGGCTCCTGACTCACCAGTGCTACCTATTAAAAAACAAAGCACTTACATCTCTGATTTGCTTTTGGTTAGGCCACTTATTTGCATTATCAGCAACTACTGCCCTCTTACGGTCATATAATGTACTACAGGCTACATTGAAAACAATACAAGTACCGATAAAACCAATTCAAATTCTAAAAGTGTATTTACAAAATAATGTATCTTTTCGAAATGCAGTATGACAGATCAGCCTCAGCATATATCCCACCTTAGAGTGATAATATTTGTGGTGGTAGGTTTTCACAGGTCGGCCGTCCACTAGCACTTGGCCTTGCTGAGGGGCATAGAAGTTCTCCAGCAAACACACACAGGAGCTTTTTCCACCACCAGAGGGCCCTACCAGTGCAGTTACTTGCCCTGGGCGAAGACTGAAGGATACATTCTGAGAAGAAAATGTGGGTTTAGTTTCCTTCTTATGTCTAGGAATTCTGTTACTGCTTCACTAGCATATCAGAGAGAAAACAAATAAACGTAGCATTCAAATGCACTTGCAATACACTAACTGCATCGCTACTCCCCACTTACGTCAACCATAGCAACCTAGTTTAAGAATTACACTCAGGGGCACAACTGTCATAAAGTATCTCAATAATTCTGTGGTTCATAGGTTATTTCTACCTGAGGTTAATCCGGTGTTTAAACTTTGTGTTTTTAGCCAAAATCATTAACATTAATCAGCCCTTACACATAAATAGGTGTGATGCAATAGGATTCCAGCAACAAGCGATTTATCTGTGACAGTGTGGCGCAATGTGACATAATCACAGCCAATGAATCAGAACATATCTTATATGGTCAGAAACGAACAACAATTTGGATTTGGAACATTGCATTATGCCTGGCTAGGTTATAGTGTTATACTTTGCTGTAGTCAGTAACCTTCTATCTAAAGTCTGCACCTTCAGTAAAGAATACCTTTAATATATCCATCTCTGGCCGTGTTGGATATGCAAACGTCACATTTTTGAATTCCACCTGCCCTTCTAATGTCTCTGGAGTTTCTTGACCATCAAGGGTATGTTTAGGTTTCCTGTCAATATATTCAAACACTTTCTCTGCAGCGCCAACGCCTTGCATCAGACCTGTGTACACTGACGATATACTCTGTAAAAAGAACAGAGAGTAAGACTTTGGATTTCAGATTCATCATATGAGCATCACGTACACACATATTAAAAGAAAACCACCATACCTCCAGGGCCTCTCCCAGCTCCAGCTCATAGATGATAAAAGAAATAAGGGTACCTCCGCTCATCTGATTTGTCACCACTAGGTGGCCTCCATAAAACAGGATTGCTACTTGCAAGGCCAACTCAGAGACCTATAGATAAAAATGTTACAAGAAATTAGTATCATTGCTCAGACTGACACCGCTGAT